ATATTCACTAAACATTTCAATAAATGAATAATTATTTTTTATTTAAACAAAAGATCTGGTATATTAATAAAAAACACCGAAAAAACATATTACTATGACTAAGATACTTAAATGTCTAGGTTGTGATCGAGAAATAAGAACTGGTAAAACTCGAGATCTTAATAAATATATGAATTTAAATAGAAACCTTCATAAAGGTCAATGTTTACCAGCTTTGCGTTTAATACAAAACCCAGTTCCAGTAGGAAATCCACCTATTCAAAATCTTGCTGAAAACCCAATCTCAGCACAAAATCCAACACCAACTCCTGAAGGTGATCTCATATCATTCGATGAAAACCCACCAACATCGAGAAAAGTAAATGCGCTGGCAGACGACCTTTTAACTGACGATATAAAAGCGGGGCCAAGTTCTATTATTCAAGGAGAACAAAAAAAGAAATCAATTTTAACAATAGATGAGTTATTAAAATAGTTATCAAAACCAGGAATTAAAAATAATAAAAAGATTAGGTCAAAACCTATACCAAAGACAGATAAAGAATGGTTTGATTTAATGAAATCGAATAATGACAATAAAGGTAGTGAACCCAGTGATTCAGAATATAATATAGCAGATGAAGATCCAGATATTTATTTTAAGAAAATTGTAGATCCATATATTAATAGAATATCAGAAGCTGAAAAATTTAATAAAGGTGAAGTATGTGATTATTACACATCTGTTCCCAAAGAATATTTTGCTGAAGGTGAGCCATTAGCTTTCTTTGAGTCAATCGAGGAAAATTGCTAATATATATAAAAGAGAATTAAGTTTAAAAAGAGGATTAAAGGTAAGAATTGTATTATTAGCACATATAAAGAAAATTACACCAGAATCTCAAGAGCCAATATTAAAAACAATTTCATTCAAACAAAATACAATAGAAATTATAAGAGAAGATCAAATTAATGCAAGTATAGAAAAAGGATATAATGAAATTATAGATGAAATAAAAGATGAGGCATTACAAGAATCTGGATGGTCATTTGTCCGAGCAGAAGAGGTATTTCTTGAAATAAGTGCATTCAGACTATTGCAAGGTAGTAGTTATCTACCTTTACCAAAAGCTTTAGATAAGCCACAACTAGGAATAATTAATCTACAAAATAGGGATGATAATGAGTGTTTTAAATGGTGTATAAGTGCATATCACACAAGAGAGGAAGCAATAAAAGCTAATAGAAAGCCACTACATCTTAATGAAATCCGGAGACTTAGACGAAATGCAAATATAGCAAATTTTGAAGGTATAAAATTTTCGGCAATACTCCATGATATAGATAAATTCAAAGAAAGCAATTCTAATTATGCTATCAATATATTTAAACCATTTTATAGAGAAG